GGTTGTCAGACTGGTTACCAATCGCTCCGCTCGGTGGCCATGGAGTGGGGCTGCTGCTGACTGATGCAGATGCTCCAGATGAGATGCTGCAGCCTCCCGTCATGCATTCATGATATCAGAATCCAGAACCCGGCGGCCACGGACAGACTCTCTCTCCCCCAGGAAGGAATCAATAATGTTGTAATGATCCCTGTCAAAATTTAGCGGGAGGGGGTGCTTCAATTCCACAGATGTATCCCCGACTTAGGCGTCATTGTCCAGTCGTCTGGCTTACCCAACCTGCTGCCCCAGTCTGCAATCCTCCGATACAAGGAGGTCATCTCCCTCCATTTCCTCTTGCAGAAGGTGGCGTCCTTTTCTCCCTGCACACTCATCTCTCTAGCTGCAGCAGTGATGGCTTCCCACCTCAATGGGCCTGTGTCAAACTCATGCGCTTTGGGGTTGGAAGCAATATCCGCGGCCTCCGTACGTTCGGCTTCACCAAGTGCAGTGGTGAGCACGCGATCCCAAGCCATATGTCGTGCCCTCCTTGGTACAGCAGCTCCTCTTGCTGACCACCTAGCTGCTCCTCGACATGTCAAGCTCTGAACGACCAACGCTTCGTCCTCGCTGTATCCTGCCTGACGACGCACTTGGCTGCACTCAAGGCGGATTGGTGAGCCCGCATGTAAGTCTGGTAGGTGAAATGATCTGATCACCTTCCCGACCTGTCACATCCACTGCTTTGGGGAGGGCACAAGCTCCAGTGGACAGCGGCGTCAGCAGCTGCTCCATGGAGGTATCACCATACTATCACGTGCGCCCACTTTCTCTGCTGCAGGTTGTGTGGACAGGTGCTGTGTGTGCTGGGCCGCCAAAGGAGGGATCTGGTAATCTTCTCCGGCGATGCTGCTGTCGCTGTTGTTCACTGTTATATACGGAGCTGGATTGCTCAGACATACATTATCTTCCGACAGCAGAAGATCAGTCATCACAGCGCCGAACAACATGTAATGGCTTCTGCTTCCCATCTTATGGCAACCCCTTGGAATTTCAAATAGCAACCAAAACACAGTTTGGTTCCGACAGATATCTCCCTCCGGCAGCTAGTGTCCCTCTCTTGATGAAGATCCGACCAGCCTTGAAAGATATCACTGCCAATGGCATAGATGGTGCTCAATGGCAACAATGGCTATGGTAACATGCGCCACCCAACTGCGGCCCTCGACATCCAGAACCAGCGCAGCCAAGTGCACATGGCCATTTGCTGCCCTCAGCATCCAAGGGGGCAGAGGACAATGAGCAGGGAGCAACCACCGTGAGGATCACCAACCTGCTCGCACAATGTCCACTGGAGGCCTGTCCATAACATACATACACTCTGCACCCAAGAGCCGGCAACCTCGTGCCTTGGACAGGAGCGTAGACATCACTCTAGTACAAGATCACCCATCTGTCCAATTACTCCTTCAGCAACTGGGATGATCTAGGAGGGGTATGCATAATAGGGATGTTGGGTGGGGGTTTGGGGGGGGCAGGGCAGAGAGGTGGGATGAGCATGGACATGGGTTCCGAGGATTGTTCATGACGTCCTCGACACGTTGATGAGGAGATGGCAGTACTCCCGTCCCATGCACAGTAATGACGCTGGCACAGGCACTGCTGACATTCTGCAATGTACACTGGCAGCCTCCACGGAAGGAGAGCTATGCCAGGTTGCGGATGGCACAACGAAAGCAAAAAAACTCAAAAACAAAGGGGCTAAAAAGAAAACAGTGTGCAATGTGCATTCCATTCGCCAAGCTGGAAGGAAAAAAAAACAGACATGAAGGACGGCCCTATCACATGCATGCATGTGCCACCATCTCCCTGCAGACATACCATCTCCAGTCGCAGCACGTGTTCTGCAGGGATGAAGCATGAAAGCAGCCATCCCTGATGCCACCCATTTCCGCACTTTTTGTGGCTATGGCGTGGCCCTATACCACCATGCCATTTCAACTGTCTCCAGGCATGCTGCTGCATACCATGGTGTCAACAGCACACTTCCACTTTCTCCAGGCATGGCGCCACATTCACCGTCTCCCGGAATCTCCGGGAGATGCTGCATCATGGCTCCCAGTTCACATGCGCGTCCATTCTGAAATGGACCCCATTCATTCACAGCTATCCATAACTTCAAATATATCTGAAATTTTCTGAATCATTGCCAGGTCCACGTACCTTTTGCCTGGTGTGCAGTGCACCGATGCCCATTGTGGTTCTGGCTTCTTAAAAAAATAAAAATGAAATGTGGGCCAATTGTGTCATGACACAAAGGAGTAGGAAATTGGGCTTGGGCGGGACACGGTCGGGAGGTACGCGCAATGGGGGGAAAGGTGCAACAACATGCTTCGCCAGCATAGCACAGTGCAAAACATCTTCATAGCACAGGGCGTGAATGGGCACACCCACAGCGGAAACGAGCGGACGAGGGGAGAAGTGAGGGGGGTGGTGGGGAAAGTCCACCGGGCCGATCTGGATGGAGGGCAGCATCCGCCATTGGGAGCGAAGAATGTGCCCAGGCAAACGCCAAGCACCTGCGGCGGAGTCGACACCTTTGAACGAGACACATGGGACCCTGGATGAGACCCACCTCTGTTGCAGAAATGCCATTAGCGCGCAGAAAACTGACTGGGGCGTTGTTTGCATCCTCCATTTCTTGTTTTTGAGTAAGTTTTTTTCATGGCAACCGCAGACCCGGACCCGGACATGTCTGGACTGTTTTTTTGTTTTATAGTAAGTTTTTTAACTTTTTTTGCTTGCCAATGAAACGGTATTCACCAGTTCGCAGTAGCAGATGCAGATCCCAGGGCTCGATCCCTAGTCCCCACCTTACCTGTGTACAGTATCTGTGTCGACCCCTAGAGTTGAACCCGCGACCTGTGTATTTGTAACAGTTGGTAGGTTGTCGTAGGGTCCCTAGGGAGCAGGGGTTCGATCTGTAGACCTGTTGAGTAGGAGTCCCAGTCAGGTCTAGCAGTCGTAGCTGTAGCTGTCTCGAAGGGTCAACGCAGCTGCTACAGTAACGAAAGGCCAAGTCAACGGCCTTCCCGAAGGTCCCAATAGTGGCCTTTCGAAGTTGCCCACGTTTAGGCTGAGGCAAGTGGGCAAGTGGTGAGGCAAGTGGGCAAGTGGTGAGGAAAGTAGGCAAGTGGTGAGGCAAGTGGGCAAGTGGTGAGGCAAGTGGGCAAGTGGTGGAGTCTACCCGTGCTGAGTCAACAGTCCCAGTCCCCAGTCAGTCCTGGTCCAGTCAAGCAAGTACCGCATGGGACCGTGCACTACGGGCATGGGAAAGGGCCAGACCAACGAGCTGCAGAAGTATAAATCAAGAGGCAGCTCCCAGTCATTCATTCATTCCTGCGTGAGCCATGCGGAAGCGCTGCCATAAGCGACTTGTGCGAGGTGGTCTGCAGAGAGCCCGAAGACGAAGTGGGCGAGAGAGGAGTTAGCCATAGTGATAGGGTACTAGCGGCCATAGCCGCCATAGCTGTAGTAGAGTTCAGTGTGTGTGCGTGTGTGTGTGTGTGTGTTCAGAGAATTGTGTGTGGGATATCCAGGGTGATCCTGTGTATGCGAACAGAGAGTTGTGGGCGTTGAGTCGCCATAGCCATCGAAGTGAACTTGAATCTGAACTGTGTTCTCGGTTACCTTACCTCTGAGTTCTGAGAGGGCGCTTGTCGGCGTTGTCGCCAGTTTGCTGCACACCTGTTTGCATGCATGAAAAGTGTGGATGAGAGCGAGTCTGATTGCATTGGTATCGGAGCTGGTACCCGCTATTCCAGGGAGAGTGATGCGCCATAGCCGAAGTGGCTGACGAAGAAGAAGTCCGCCACAGCGGACACGGAGGTTGAAGAAGCCGCCGCGCGCACCTGCAGAGAAGACCACGACAAGAAGAAGAGAGAGAGAGAGAGAGAGAGAGAGAGAGAGAGAGAGAGAGAGAGAGAGAGAGAGAGAGAGAGAGAGAGAGAGAGAGAGAGAGAGA